TCTTCCTTCGCCTCATCATGGAGGGTCATCCTTTTGCCTGCTCAGCTCAGCTGTGTGGCTGAAAAAAGAAATAATCACCAAGATAGCCATCAAAAGGACCACCTGGCTTGATGTGCTGCCATCTTGATTTTTTCCCCTATTTATTTATTTGTTTGTTTGTTTAAATTATAAGAATACAACATGGGCATCCATTCTGGCATTACAATGGTTATACATATATAAATTTTACTTCATCATTTACAATCCTCTTGTTTGATAACATTGTTTACTAATTATTCTAATCATCATCGCTACTTATGTTCCGCCCTTGCCTTCTTCTACGCAGCCACTGATAGAATTTATTCCATGTTTCATAGTACTCAAGATTCTCCCTTGTTTTTTAATTCTAGGTTTAACCTGTCCAATTCTGCACAGGCCATAATTTTCCTTATTATCTCTGTTTCCAGCGGTATTCTTTCCTTCTTCCAGTTATTGTGCATATATTATTCTAGCCGCCGTAAACACACGTACTATTAGATAAGTTAAATCCTTCCTATATCCTTCTGGGATTATTCCTAAATGGAAAAAAAAAATGATTTTGTTTGACCAACCCGGCAGCAAACAAATTTAATAAATATTTGTTTCAGGGAGCATAGGACATTTATTTATTAAATTTGGTTTTCACCCTATGTCGCTGGAAGTCAATTTTGGCGATAGCAAAAGGTTTCAAAAGTCTCAGCCAAGTATATCAGTCATGGGAATTTGAACGAGGGGATTCTTTGAATACAGCTAGTATATTCTATATTCTTTGAATACAGCTAGTGAAAAGAATAAAGGTAATAAAATGTTTTATAAAGTAAAAATAAAAACGTAAAATAAATCATAAAATAATAAAAATAAAGCTAATGAAAAGAAGGTCTAGGGGTGACATGATAGCACTGTTCCAATATTATTTTACAAAGATGAGAAGGGGAGGGGGCAAACTATTTTCCAAAACACCAAAAGGCAAGAGGAGAAACAATGGTTGAAACAAGGAGAGAAGCAACCTAAAACTATGGAGAAATTTCCTAATGGTGAGAACAATTAACCAGTGGAATGCCTTGCCTTCAGAAATTGTGGGTACCCCATCACTGGAGGCTTTTAAGAAAAGACTGAAATGGCATAGGGTCCCCTGCTTGAGCAGGGGGCTGGACTAGAGGGTCTTTAAGGTCCCTTCCAAGTTCCAAATCTATTATTCTATATTCTATCATTTTACTGCCACTAACTGACATGTGGGCAACAATGCCTAATTCTAATTCCAAGCAGATGAGTCTAGTCTTGTGGTTAAGGCACCAGCCTGGGCGACTTTGTGCCAGTCTCTCTCTTTCAGCCCAACCCACCTCACAAAGGTTGTTGTTGTTACGAGGAAAATAAAAGGAGGGTGTATTGGGTACATTCGCCATCTTGAATTATTTGTAAAGATGGGGTACAAATAAATGAATTGGCTCATCGATATCACTAGTTTGAATCCTGCGCAGAGGAAGTGGGTGCTACTTCTGGATAAACATACACTGGACTGGATTATTAGAATAGCCTCTTGCAAATATGAGCAGAGTATACATTTAATAAATAAATAAGATTACCGATCCTGCCTCATCTTCCACTCACTTGAATGCACCTGGAGCCTTCTTCCACCTGGCCCCATTATAGCAATAGCACTTAGACTTATATACAGCTTCCCAGTATTTTTACAGCCAGCTCTCTAAGCTGGTTACAGAATCAGCAAAAAACGCGTTAGGCCAAAACAAGCTCCATAAATCGGTAGAAGTTCCCCACCCCCCAGCTGCAGGGGATTTATACCTTCTTTTTCCTAATGGGTTTGGAAAAAACTGCACGTTCATTACAACCTACCAAAGGCAAGCGAACTTCAGGATAAACTTATTAAAAGCAGCTCAAGCGTGGGAAAAGGTCCCGGTTCTCAGAGCCTCGGTTACCTAACGTGCGAAGAGTCAAGGTCAAAACCCAAAAGTTTTCGGGGACAAGTTTTCCGCCACGACCCAGCCAAGAAATGCCCCCGCAGCTGCGTGGCTGGCACCTTAATTGTAAAGTCACCTGACGGACAGGTGGCAGGTGTGGAGAGGCGGGGAAATCAAAGGGAAGACGGCGGCTGATTGGGCTTCGCAATTCCTCGCCGTCCCTCGGGGTTGGCCGTTGGCCGGAGGTTCTGATCTTCCCTCCGGCCCCCGCTTGACCGGCAGCCGGACGTGGAAGGTCCGGCTGTTTGAGGTTTGAACGGAGCCTTTTGGTAGGCGCTGCGATTCCGGCTGCAGTGGGGAAACGGTGGGAGAAGGAGGTGGAATTTAAGAAGTGTTAGAATGAAAAAAAAAACAAACCCGACCATCCCCATTAGATGCTGGTCAGGAGACGTTTAACCACGATTCAGCCAGCTTGGGTGTAAGGCAGCCGTGGTGTCTAGATGTCATGGCTAATTGCACTTTTTTATTTTTTATTAAATTTCTTCCACCGCCCATCTCACTTAAGTGACTCTGGGCGACTTACAACATGTCTACAGTTGTTGTTTTCAATCTAAATTTAATTCAGATTCAAAGAGCCATTTATTTAATGGATAACCATTGGATAGTGATGGAAAAATATAAGCGAGCTATACCGAAACCCCTCTTAAACAGTTTCCAAGAAATTGTTTTCTGTTCCCACTAGACCAGGGGTAGTCAACCTTTTTATACCTACCGCGCACTTTTGTATCTCTTGTTAGTAGTAAAATTTTCTAACCGCCCACTGGTTCCACAGTAATGGTGATTTATAAAGTAGGGGACAAAACCCCTACCGCCCACCATGAAAGCTGGAACGCCCACTAGTGAGCGCTAGGGACCAGGTTGACTACCACTGCACTAGACTGTACTATAGGGCACAAGGACGGATATTTCAAAGGCCTGGAAGCACAGAGAGATAACTGACAGGTCCAATAGTTATTTCTAAGGCAATCTGTCCAAAAGTAAGATTTACACAGCAGGAAATTATCAGTATTTTGTTTTATTCATATTTATATTGCCATGGTTTTACCATAGAGGCTGCAATACATCTGGGAACCATCAGGGGGCAATAGCTCCCAGATATTCAGTGTTTTGCACTATTTTCTTAACAGAATGTGATACTTTGATGAGCAGTATAAATATATTGCCAGAAGATATATAACCTATCGGTAATAATACATGGTCCTGATTTCCCTAAAAAAAAGCCTGATTTAATGCAGTGGTTAAAGCATCAAGCTAGAAACCGGGATACTGTGAGCTCAGTCTTGGAAGGAAGCAAAATCCATGTCAACAATGACTCAACAGCATTCCCCTCCCTCCAAAATCTACATACCATTTGAGCCACAGAAGGGCAACATGTCTTATAGCAGGGGTCCCCAAACTTGGCAACTTTTAAGACTTGTGGACTTCAACTCCCAGAATTGAAGAGTTGAAGTCCACAAGTCTTAAAGTTGCCAAGTTTGGAGACCTCTGTCCTATAGATTTCATTATATTGCTTAAAAAGTCTACAATACCTCATTGAGCCGCCAGGGGCACTATTTATTTTACATTATACTTTAGGTCAAGTTGATGGAATCTACGCAAAATATTGCCCCGTGGTGGCATGATGAGATATTTGTGATTCAGAGGGGGGGGGGGAAATAAGGTGATGTAATGGAAGTGATAGGAAAGATGCAGTAAGATCAGAGGTGGTATTCAGCAGGTTCTGACCGATTCTGGAGAACTGGTTGCGGAAATTTTGAGTAGTTCGGAGAACCAGCAAATCCCACCTCTGACTGGCCCTGCCAATCCCATCTATTCTCCACCTCCTGAGTCCCAGCTGATTGGCTGGGTCTCCTTTGGTTGCCCTGCACAGGAGAATGGAGCTGGAAAGCAGGTTAGTGGGGTGGGGAGGGAATGGATATTTTACAGTATCCTTCCCCTGGAGTGGGGAGGGAATGGGGATTTTGCAGTATCCTTCCCTTGCTACGCCCATAGAACCAGTAGTAAAAATTTTTGAATCCCACCACTGAATAAGATGTAGCATTCATTCTCCATGAGTTTGACTGCCAAATGAGGAATTGTTGGCTTAGTATGGAATATTAGGGCAGTACATTGCTTGTTTGACAAGCAACCGAGGACACATTCTGATATTAGTGACAGCTGGCTGCCTGCAGCTTATAAACAGGACTCACTTTACCTGTTTTCTTTGCTGGAAATAATGTCTGGCTTTTGCAGGACTAATTCTACTCTTAAACCTTAGACTGGCAGACAATCTTGATCTGGCTCTTGAAGCTTGGCTTTTGGATTTTTCTGCAGTCTCTTTGAAAACAAACTCCAGAGACAAACCATGGCGCTGACATTTCGTGCTTATAGTGCTAAGTCTGACATCTGAAAATAAAACCGATCGTGTCTTAAGAAATGTTTGTGGCTAAAAATCAAAGCAGGAAACCTACAAGAGTTCAAGATCCGGCAGGCCATTGTTATTCCCTGTTCCAATGATCTATGGAAGTGAAAAGCAGGATAGGAAGTTTCTTAAGACATTTTGGAAGTATGGTGGAGAACATAAAACAAATGGATCAACCTTATGTTGTACCTTATGATTCTTGGCAGATATATCTTTTTTTATGTACACTGGCAACATATGCACCAAGACAAATTCCTTGTGTGTCAAATCACACTTGGCCAATAAAATACTCATTCATTCATTCATTCAACCCAGAGTTCTTGGGATACAAAATGACCAAGCTCAAATTATCCTATTTTCATCTATAATGTAAAAACCTATGGGAAAAGGCGGTTATGAGGTTGGGAAAATCCGCAGAGAAGCATTAAAAGGTTTTGCTTTTATCTCTGTTTGGTGTTTGTTTACTTGGAACAAGGTTTGGGTCAGAACACCTTCCTGCCCTGCCCTGAAGCTCTGGGTGTTTGGGAAAAAAAAATATTCTCCTAGATCAGGGGTCCCCAAACTTGGCAACTTTAAGACTTGTGGACTCCAACTCCCAGAATTCCTCAGCCAGAGGGATTCTGGGAGTTGAAGTCCACAAGCCTTAAAGTTGCCAAGTTAGGAGACCTCTGTCCTAGATTTTAAAAAAGTTACCCACACTTTGCTATACAATTTCATATTTTAATTCCATTGCTTGAACCTGGCCCTACTGCCACCTGCTGGACAGGTAATGATATGTCCTTAAGTTGCTGAGCTGGACTGTTCCATTTTCCAAATCTTTTCTCCAATGCCAGCACCTTCCCCTTCTTTGGTGTGGATAGGACCCTATTTCCCAGGGATGGAATCGCACCACCCTTGCTTCAGCAGCGCAAGCAGCCAGTTCGGGCATCCGATGCTGGAATCAAACCCGTTGAATTAAATTCCCAAGGTTAATTATCACGCATTGGTTCCCCACGGCATGCAGCTCAGTCTTAGGATTGATTATTATCTCGGCAAAGAAATCCATCTGGTCTAAATGAGCTGAACTGCCCCAGAGGCCACCAAGGGAGCAATTGTCTTGTAGCGGATTAAATGTTGGGAGTTTTCATCCAAGTCAATCACATAGTCTCTGAAAGAAATAGGACAATAAAAATAGACCGTTCTTGTAATTCTTATACATACTTATTCGTTAAAGACTTAATTCTCAGCTCTCTCTTTTTTTTTTTTTGCAGGAGTCCAAGTTTCTATAAATAATACAGAGCATTCTTTCTTTCCATTCTTGCTGCAATAGCCCTATAGCAGGGGTGTCTTTTTAAGGGCAGAGCTAGAATAAAAGCTTGGGGTTATAAATTTAGCTTTAATGGGTTTTGGGTGAAATTAAATCCAATACTATTGTAACAGGAGGTGAGCCTTCTCTGACATAGTACCTGCCCTTTGGCAGGTAATCTCCCTACCCCAAGTAAGGTTGGCCTCAACTCTATCGATCTGCCAGAAAAACCCTTAATACGTGGTTTTGTCAGCAAGCTTGGGCGTCCCATGAAAATAAGGAGCCCCCAAATGTCTGTATTGTAAGGTAGGATGTTGGATTAAGTCTGTTTGTTTACAGCAGGGGTCTTCAAAGTCGACAGCTTTAAGACTTGTGGACTCCCAGAATTCCTCCTCCAGTCATGTTAACTCAGGAATTCTGGGAGTTGAAGTCTACAAGTCTTAAGCTTGCCAAGTTTGAAGACCCTTGGTTTACAGCTTTAACTTATTTTAACGGTTTTTAACAGGCCTCTTTTAATCTTATTTGAATTGTGTGTGCTACCCAGAGTCACATACATGAGTAGCGACTACATTAAATTTAATAAAATGAAAACAACAATATAACAACTTTATCCCACTCCTTTCCACATCCTTAATATTCTCCATCTCTTCTTAAAACTAGAAGGGAGGACATCTTGCACCAAACTTTTGGGAGAGGTCTTTCATGGATTAAGGTGGAATCAGAGGTTGCCCAGATCTCTGGCTAACTGAACTTTTGCAAACAGCAAGACCGAATCTACCTGCACCAAACATTATAATTAAAGAGATCCCTTCTTTATGTTTGCCTTCATTTGCGAGATCCCTTCGCTTGAATCTGCACTAGAATATCTAACTTGCACCCAAAATGGGAAGTTTTGACAAGCGGACAAGCATCTTTCAGGACTACCAACAACCCCGTTTCCCCGAAAATACAACCTACCTGAAAGTAAGCCGTAGCTTGATTTTTACATCTGTGCCCAATAGAAGCCCTAACCCCAAAATAAGCCCTAATTAAGATCCCACCCACTCTAGAATGCACGGATAAAAATTAAAGCTAGGGGGGGAATGGGGGGGGTGGAGCTGCCCTACTACTTACTTTTGGAAAGTTGTAGCCAGGCCTTGCACACTCCAACACCTGCCTTGCCGACCCATTTTTTTCTGCAGCTGGCAAGGCTTTCCTGAAGGCCTCTGTAGCTGAGAACAAAGTTCTGGATCAATCCAGAGGTCTGTTATTGGCTGCAGAGGCCTTCAGGAAAACCTTGCCGGCTGCAGAAGAAGTTGTTCCTGAAGGCCTCTGACAAGGAGAAGGAGGCCGGGGGCGACGTGCGCCAAGTGAGGTTAGTCAGTGGATGACATCCCCTGAAAATAAGACCTGGTGCCTCTTTTTTGGTGGCAAAAAAAAAAAAGAAGACATGGTCTTATTTTCAGGGAAACATGGTATGTGAGGGCTGAAGAGGGAGGGTGGGGGAAAGAGAAGAACCATTCTGGTGTCTTGAAAAATCTCATCGGCCAATTAAAAGCCCAGCTGTTTTCTAGCTATTCTCTTTTCTCTTTGTTGCCAACAGAACTTCCAACCTGTTTGTCAGGATTCCGGCAGTGACCCCCATTTAAATCATGAGTCTCGAGCCAAACTTCCAAAGCTTCAAAAGGATTTTTTGGGTGTTAAAATGTCCGGCACTGCCTGGGTGTAGCCGACTCTGAGGCACATCATTCATTTGTCACCCTTGACCCTGGTTTTCCCTCCACCCCCTGGGGGTATCGTAATTCATATTCTCCAATGGGACACCTCCATAGCCAAGAGTCATCAATCATGTTCTCCAGTTAGAATTTTGCGGGGCAGAAACTTCAGTCACCTAGTTACTATCTTTGAAAAACATTTGTGGAATGCAGTTTCAGTTTCCAAGCTGCTGCACTGCTCCCCCTCCCTTTCTCCTGGCAACTCTAAAAAAAACCATAGAAATATTTTATGAGTTGACACCTGTCTTCGTGCTCTGGTTCCACCATGATATTTTCTTGTCTCTCCTTTACTCTCAAGAAGACGAAGGCATCCAGGTTGGGCTTGGGAACTGCCGAGAAAGATCAGAGAGGAGAAAAAAAAAAAGTTTTCTTCAGCAGCACTTATAAAGATGTCCGGCCATAATATATGACAACACGAAGGCCTGCTAAGCTTCTACTGCCACTGTGTCTGTGCACGCGTATTGTTGTTATCAGCAGTAGGGGAAGGTGGTTTTCCAAAGGCCAGGCTCAATATCAGTAACTGTGAGAGGGATCTTGGAGTCTTAGTGGACAACCAACTAAATATGAGCCAGCAGCAGCCAAAAAAGCCAATGCAATCCTAAGTTGCATTAACAGAGGGATACAATCGAGATCAAGTGAGGTACTAATACCACTCTATAAAGCCTTAGTAAGGCCACACCTAAGAGTACTGAATCCAGTTTTGGTCACCACATTATAAAAAAGAGGTTGAGACTCTAGAAAGAGCGCAGAGAAGAGCAACCAGGATGATTAGGGGACTGGAGACTAAACCATACAATGAACGGTTGCAGGAACTGGGCTTGGCTAGTCTAGTAAAGAGAAGGACCAGGGGAGACAGGATAGCAGTCTTCCAATATTTGAGGGACTGCCACAGGGAGGAGGGTAGGGTCAAGCTATTTCCCAAAGCACCCAAAGGCCAGACAAGGAATAATGGATGGAAACTGAACAAGGAGAGATTCAACCTGGAAATAAGGAGGAATTTTCTGACAGTGAGAACAATCAACGGATGGGAACAGAACTTCAGAAGTTGTTGGAGCTTCATCACTGGAGGCTTTCAAGAAGAGACTTGGACTGCCATTTGTCAGAAATGGTGTAGGGTCTCCTGCTTGGGCGGGGTTTGGACTAGATGACCTACAAGGTCCCTTCCAACTCTGTAAATATGTATTGTTTGGCCCTTGTTTGGCCCGAAGGTCCTCCCCTCCCCCATCCCTTTCACAGATGTCATCTGCAGCTGTCCAGATGCTTATGGGCCTAAGGGCTGGGCCCTTCCTGCCCTTCTTCCTTACCAGCCTTAAGGAACTCCACTTTCTGAAGGTTTGGAGGCATATGTCTCAGTGCAACGTTTTTGAGATGGTTCTCTGTGTTTGCCATGTACCTGAAAAGAAGAGATCGTTTCGTTGTAAAGAAAGGAAGGAAGGAAGGAAGGAAGGAAGGAAGGAAGGGGTCTCCTATTTAACTTGAGCTATGCAGAATGACAAAAATGCAACTACAATGAAATAAACAGAATACTGGAGCCAAATGTTTGCTCATCTGTGCCCCCTACACTGCCCCACCCGCCCCCCCAGGGGGGTGGTGATTTTTCCTAAAACAATCAACTTCTACTTTGAAGTTGAATGTAAGCCTTTGTTCTAGGGTCCTTCCTCCTCCAGAGGGAATCCTTTTGAGCAACAGCAATAGCCCTTAGACTTACATACCGCTTCCCAGTGCTTTTACAGCCTTCTCTAAGCGGTTTAGAATATACATACATACATACATACATATGTTCGTCTTGGCTTCTAGGGGCTCACTAAGAAAGGATTTTTCGAAATGACCATCGGAGCATTAGTATTTCCTATATTATTATTATTAACAGGCTTTGATGCTAAAGAGTTCTACTCCCCCTCCCCACCTGAAAAGAAATATGTTCCTAATGCAAAACATAAGCAGAGGAGAGGAGTTTCAGTTTCACAGGGCCAAGCAGCTTTAGTACAGAACAGTTGAGCTAAGCCACACCCAGGCTCCTTGCTGTCTCCTTCCTCACACAGCAAAATTCTTTCAGTTTCCAAACAGCCCTCAGCTCTCTCCCACGCTGACAGGATGCTAGCCAGATGAATACCGATGGATGCTGGCAGGCAGAGGCAGAATTTTCCCCCCCCCCCTCTTATTTTCCTCCCCCAAAAACTAAGCCCGACCACATCATTTCGTAGTGAAACATGGGTATCCAGGTAGTTTCAAATAAATCGTAAATTAAATCGTGTTTCTCCTCTTGGTTGCCTCATTGGGGTCCAGCATATTGAGGCGTGAACCTAAAACCCGTAATTGGCCATCAACCTCCTCCCAAATCTTTACTCACTCTTTGGCAAAGGCAAACTCTTCTGGGGACAAGATGGAAGGTTCTCCTTCTGCCCGAGTCTTTTCTTTCTCCAGGACATGGGGGAAATATTTCTCAATCTTTCAGAGGAAATAAACAACAAAGGTAAGAATAGACAGGCACTTCAGCATTGCCGAAAGCCAGCGATGGAACGAAAAATCTCTTATTTCCTTGGCTAATGTCCCTTTGCTCTAAGACTCTGGGCTCAAGGAATCTACCACTTGTTACTAACGATGCTCCCCATTCTCCAAAGTCTGTGGATAGTAACATCTACTACAATAGTAACCATGCTGGATGGGGTTAGTTTAATCTAGGTTGCACGGACACAGACAGAAGCATCAAGAAAACACGTGAACAAGAAATATGTAGAGAAAGGAGAGAAGAAGACTGTTTTCATAAACATTATACGCCACCGAAGAATATTGATTTCATTCTCGGCTTTGAAGAATATTTGAAGGTTATTGAATTATTGCAAACCTCGAAGAAAGAAACGTAAAAACATAGCAACAGCTCCTGATAGTTTCAACAGGAAAAATAATTGCTTGCAAAGCTATCCTTGCCTTGGTAAGCTAGTACAAGGAAGAGTCATGGAAAAGAGCCCCAAGCAAGAATTGAATTATTGAGACTTAATTTGGCATAGTAGTTTAAAGGGTTGGTCTTATGCTGCCTGGGAATTCTGGGAGTTGAAGTTCATAAGTCTTAAAGTTGCCAAGATTGGACAGCTCCATCTGGAGGACTTTGGACTTCCTACACTGATCTACCTCTTCTAGCCTCCCAGACTAGAGTTGGGTTCACTTGCCTAAACCCAACTGGTTCAGGCAATACGGTAGCCATGTTCAACTAGTTTACTATGACCAATTTAACCGTATCCTGGGTTTGTATAATGGCACAACAGATGTTAGGCCTCTGATTACTTCAACTCAGTTTGTTGTGTGAATCTAGTCCAGATTAACCTTACATTCAGAAATCATGGGTGCTCCATCACTGGAGGTTTTGAAGAAGAGACTAGACCCGTGATGGTGAACCTATGGCACGTGTGCCACAGGTGGCACGCAGAGCCATTTGTGCCAGCATACGAGCTGCAGGCAAACTTACCTCACTGCGCATGTGCGCGCCTCACAGCTGACTTTTGGCCAGTTTGAGGCCTTTTTTGGCCTCCCGGAGGATTGAGGAAGGCTTCTGCAGGCTTCTGCAGGCTTTGTAGGCCGAAAACTAGCCCCATTTTGTCACTTCCGGTATTTTCGGAAAAACAGGAAGTGATGAAACGGGCCTAGTTTTCAGCCTACAAAGCCTGCAGAAGCCTTCCTGAAGCCTTTGGGAAGCCAAAAAAGGCCTCAAACCAGCTGAAAATCAGCTGTGAGGCGCAGTGCAGATAAGGGGGCGGGGGGGTGGGGGGGTGATTACGCACGCATGCATAGAGAGCGGGGGGGGGGATGCGCATTGCCTTTTGGTTGCTGGCACGCGAGCGTGCAAGTGTGCGCACAATTTTTGGCACAGGGGCCCAAAAAAGGTTAGCCACCACTGGACTAGACAGTCACTTATCTGAAATATTATAGGTTCTCTTGCTTGAGCAGGGGGATGAACTAGAAGACCTCCAAGGTCCCTTCTACCTCTATTCCTATTCCTTTTCCACTCCACTCTACTAGAGAATTTAACAAAATGAAACCCGCCAGTTGCACTGATGCCACTACCCTGAGATTTTTAATAACAACTGAAATGCCAGGAAAGAGACAATGAATATTTGGCTTCTGCCTTAAAAACAGGCCACAAGAGCCCTTCTAAATGCTTCTGCTATTCACAGACTCCCTTGGGTTTTCAATTAAGTCATTTACCTTCCGGAGTCGGCAACGCAAGTAACTGCTGAGAACGTAACGGATCCTTTCTACCTCCATGCGGTGAATACTAATTTTTAGGTCCCCTTGTTTGGCTCGTTTCAAATTCTCTTCCTACGGGACAAATAATGATTAAAAAAAAAAATCACTGTAATGTTTCAATAGGCCAGGTTTAGGATTAGGGTCAAATTTTATTACCACGACCCTCGAAAATGATTGGATTTGTCCGATTTGCTCCATTTGAAACAAATGTACTACAGGCAGTCTTTGGCTTACAATGGAGCCGGTGGTGGGATTCAATTTTTTTTAATACCCTGTTTCTCCAACAATACGGCCTCCCCCAATAGAAAGTCCCAGCATGTTTTATAGGCATGAAATGAAATTAAGCCCTTCCCCCCAATTAAGGCCTATATTGAAACATGCAAAATGGGGGGGAATGATTGCCGTTAGGAAGTACTTTTGTTGCACACCCGGATATGGTGCTGCCTGCGTTGACCCCGATACAAAGTGCCCCACCAACGCTGAGGTTAACATCCAAGTCGTCGCCGCCTGCCCGAAGATGCAAGGGGGGGAAATTAAGTCACCCCCGAAAAGACGGCCTAGCCATTTTTTCGGGGCTCAAAAAAAATAAAACCCGGCCTTATTATATGAGAAACACGGTACCAGTTCTGTGGGCGTGGCTTGGTGGGCGTGGCAGGGGAAGGTTACTGTAAAATCCCCATTTCCTCCCCACCCCACTAACCTGCTTTCCAGCTCCATTCTCCTATGCAGGGCAACCAAAGAAGACCCAGCCAATCAGCTGGGACTCAAGAGGCGGGGAATAGATGGGGGCGGGGCCAGTCAGAGGCGGTATTTGCCGATGCTCCAAACTACTCAACATTTCCGCTACGGGTTCTCCAGAACTGGTCAGAATGCCACCTCTGATTATGGGATTGTTAAATGAAGACGAGGACGCAGCAGCCGCATAGACAGATTTTCTCCATGACCCACGTGATTTGACACACAAGGAATTTGTCTTGGTGAAGAATCGGTCCGAGCCAGCTGAATACCACCTCTGAATTGAGCCCAAAATTTCCGCTGTTAAACAAGACCGTTGTTGAGTGAGTTTCCCCTCCCCATTGTATAACCTTTCTCTGCAGCGAATCACTGCAGTTGTTAAGTTAGTTAACCTGGCTGTTGAATGAATCTGTCTCCCCCCACAGATTTTGTCTGTTAGAAGGTTGATCCCAGGACTGCAATTTGTCATAAACACGAAGCGGCTGTTGCCAAGCATCCAGGTTCGGATCACACATATGGATACTGCAGCAGTTGTGTTGTGGCTCTGAGGTTTGAGCCTGCTTTATTAGAGGACGAAGACTCGGACAGTGGGGAAGAGGAGGTTTTGGAAATGCCTTCCTCCTTGATTGTGCCTCAGGTGCCGGCAGGTAACCGGGAGGGAAGACCTGAGGCTGATCAGGAAAAGGAGGAGGGCATATCAGAGTCTCTGACTGAGAATCCAGCAGAGGAATGCTGGCTTGATGCGAGGCAACGGCGTAGGCAAAAGTGCGAGCTGCAACGCAGAAAGAAGGGACGAATCAGAGACCGAGATGAGGGACTGACACGCCCCTCAGGGAATAAAAGTGGGTGTGTTCGCTCTGGGAACTTGTTCGGGATGTGTTACTTAGTGAGAGAAGCTTCGGTGTGTAATCTGTGTTGTGGCAGCTTGTGTGATTTATATTCCTCTTATCTGGCCAGACTTGGCAGACAGCGTGTGAGAGACTGCCAAGAACTTTATCGGCTCAAAGGAGTTAACTCCATAATTGCTGGATTTGCTTGCCTGTTTGTATTCAGTTGGAAATTTGGACTTCTCACCTCGTTTGTACAGGTGAGACATAACAAGTTGTGTGAAAAGCGGTCATTGTAAGCCACTTATTTTCAGTACCGTTGTAACTTTGAAAAGCCACCAGTCAAGGACTACCTTTACTCACTAAAAGATACGCAACTTTCATCCTACTCTTAACCCATCCCACCCCTTGGCTACTTGCCTCTCCTTCAACCTACAGCAGGGATCTCCGTTCCCAGAATTCTCCAGCCAGCCATGCCTGCTTTCTCTCTCTCTCTCTCTCTCTTAATCTCCTAAAGTGGAGAGAGATTGCAGAGGAAGGGGTTACAAGAGAGTAAGCTATGCTGGCTGGAGAATTCTGGGAGTTAAAAGTCCACAGGTCTTAAAGCTGCCAAGTTTGGAGACCTCTGCCCTACAGTAAGTCAGCAAACAGGAGTAGCAAAATCACAAGAACAGCAAAGTCAAGAGTTCAGATCCTACTGGGGAAAAAAAGGAGATCTTTGAACCTCCTGATTTTTCAGTGCTGTGAGGCAACACGGTCTGTTAATGGGTGCCAGCAGAGGCCTCTGCTACAGAAGTGAATGCCAAAAGCAGCATCACACCGATGTGTTTCAAGGCCCACCTCCATTGTATATGTTTTATACCCTATGATTAAGTGTTGTACCTTATGATTCTTGACGAATGTATCTTTTCTTTTTATGTACAAAGACGAATTCCTTGTGTGTCCAGTCACACTTGGCCAATAAAAGAATTCTATTCTATCTAAAAGGAGCAATGTTTTGCATCGCAGTGGTGTGGCATTACCTTATCACTTTCCCCAAAATTGGTTGCCCTCTCCCCTCTTTGGAAGAGCTTTATAGCTCCCGCTGCCTCAAGAAAGTTCAAAACATCCTGAAAGATCCATCTCATCCTGGGAACCCTTTTTTTAAACTATTACCATCTGGCAGACGGTACAGAATAATAATAAAAACAAGGACAAATAGGCTGAAAAACAGCTTCTGTCCCAGGGCAGTAACTCTACTGAATTCTACTGTATAAGGTAAAGGCAAAGATTCCCTTTGCACATACATGCTACAAAGCCAAAGAGACAGCACTGTTCGAAAACGTCTCCGTGGTCATGTGGCCGGCGGGACTAAACACCAAAGGCGCACGGAACGTTTCCCACCAAAGTGGTCCATATTTTTCGACTTGCATTTTTTACATGTTTTCTAACTGCTAGGTTGGCAGAAGCTGGGACAAGGAACGGGAGCTCACTCCATCACGCGGCACTAGGGATTAGAACCGCCAGCCTTTCTGATCGACAAGCTCAGCGTCTTAGCCACTGAGCCACCGCGTCCCCTATTTCTACTGTACAATGCAATATTAAAGCAATTATCAGGGGTTTTTAATTCAGTTGTACAGAATGCGAAGGATGTGTGTTTGCGTTTTATTTTTATAGTTATAAGGTACACCGAAGATGGCATTTCATTTCGTTGTATGGGATGCAATGACAATAAAATAAACTGAATTAAACTAAACTAAAAGAGGGTGACTAGGCTGGAACAAGAGTGAGGCCTGATTGTCTTTTTGAACTTAAACCCAGTCACCTTCCATTTACCTCTTGGGATGCCTTACCATGTGTTCCAGCTGTTCCATGACACATTCAACAATTTCCGTTTTGCTTTCTAGAAGCTCCGGGGCAAATTTCTCATTCATCCAAGCCTGGAGAACAAATAGCAGAAAATGGGCATCGTGGTTAACTCCTGAAACCTTTTCCCGATACTCGCAGTCCTCGGAACTTCGTGCTCCCAGCTCTCCAATGCTTTTCTTATGGGCCCAGGTTATGGTCCCCTTCTTCCAAATCAAGGCTGATCAACAGCTCCCATCCTTTCAAATCTATATAACCAGAAAGTCCAGTGGCCTCTTGAAAAAAAAAAAAAAAAAAAAGCACCTTTGGGAATTGCATGAAGTTGTTTTGTTCAGGCCCAAGGATGCTTGGATGGGAGCGAGGATGGACACAGAGACGAGTTATTCCTGCAATAAATGAACAGCTACAGCTAGAGAGCCCCAGACTGGCAATTGGCTGCTGCTGGGGGCGGGGGGACTGCTGATTGCTAACGGCACCAGAATAAAATAGAGCTGAAAGGGACCATGGAGGTCTTCTAGTCCAGCCCCCTGCTCAAGCAGGAGAACCTATACCATTCCAGACAAGTGACTGTCCAGTCTCTTCTTAAAAACCTCCAGGGATGGAGCACCCATAACGTCCCACCCACAAGTTACTCTTTTGGAGCCAGAGGGATAAATTGGTTAATATTATATAAAGGCAAATATCTCTGTAATGGTAGCTTAAAACTCTGAGGATGTCAGCAGAGGCTGACGAAAGCTCAGTGAGTACATTAAATGTACTTTTTAAGTTCCAGAGATTGCAGGATGTCTGTTTCTTCATGTATGTATGTATGTATGTATGTATGTATGTATGTATGTATGTATATATATATATATTGTTTTCTTAAGTTTTCGCGGGTACTTACATGTATGGTATTCAGCTTTGTTCGGGTATTTTCCCACGTCATTATAGTTGTGCTTTTAAAGTTGTAGCTACAACTTTAAAAGCACAACTATAATGACGTGGGAAAATACCTGAACAAAGCTGAATACCATACATACATACATAAACACATACATACACACATACATACACACACACATATATATATATCCGAACAAAGCTGAATACCATATATATGTATATGTGTGTATGTATGTATGTATGTGTGTATATATATATATATATATATACATACATACACACACACACAAAGAGAGAGAGAGAGAGATTAGATAGATATATAGGTAGATAAGATAGAGATTAGTTATCTAGATATATTATTATTTTCTGGGTATCATTCATATGAATCAAAATCACATGAACAGTATTAGTAATCTCTATCACATTTATCCAATTTAAATCATTAGGTTTTTCAAGTTATATATAAGCCAAAAAAAATGCCTAAATCCTCCTCTTTATCTTTCATTTATATCTTTCTTATTCAATCTCAACATTTCTCTATTGTCTATAAACAAGTTTAACTACGTTTCATTCCATACTGATCCAATTCATGCTGACATTATTAATACAGGTTTATCAAATTTTATGTAATCCTCATATTATTTTAGGCATATATTTCTCCCTTTTTTGTATTTCAATTTTTATCCATTTTTTCATATTAATTCACAATAACCGCATGAAGAGATTTAACTTAGTAACATTCATATTCCTCCAATTCACGCTAACATTATCATTCATCTCTATCACATTAATCAAATTGATACAATCTAATATACATAAGCCATCAAAACGTGGCTTCTTGAACCCCACACAGCTTATAAACGGACACCTAACAGCTGGGGCTGCCCTCGGCAAGCTCAGCCCTGGCCGGTTACTTACGTGTCAGCTGCATTCACACGGCTTTACGGATCGAATGCCATTTTCCCGAGCTCCACGCATCTTGCAATGTTTCCCTTCTTCCCGCTTCCCCTCCCCGACTCTGAAGCCCGGGTGCGCTGCAAAACCAAGCCGGCAGCATTCGCGGGTCGGGTTCAAATGAAACGGAGCCCATTCCTACGTTTTTTTGTTTTTTTTAAGGTTCCCAATGAAGGAGGGGGGGGTTCCCCAAGACCCTCCCGGCCTCACCTCCTCCAAACTGCAGATGAGCTGAGCCGGCGTGAGCACCACCTCCACATCGCTGCCCGCATCCGAGTCGAGCAGCTCTGCCATTCCCACGTTTCCCGCCACCGCTGGGTGACGTCAGGTCCTCCAGCGCGCGAAAAGAGGAGGGATTCCCCGCCCCACCAGTCGGGGGAAAGTCCTCTTGGCCCCGTCCCTTTTCTTAAACGAACCCTCGGCCGAAAAAAGAAAAAAAAGAAATATAGTAGAGTAGAATAGAATTCTTTATTGGCCAAGTGTGGTTGGACACACAAGGAATTTGTCTTTGGTGCAAATGCTCTCAGTGCACATAAAAGAAAAATTACATTCGTCAAGAGTCTAGAATCATAAGGTATAACACTTAATAATAATCATAGGGTACAGTAAGAATAGAATAGAATAGAATAGAATAGAATAGAATAGAATAGAATAGAATAGAATAGAATAGAATTCTTTTTTGGTCAAGTGTGATAGGACACACAAGGAATTTGTCTTGGTGCAAATGCTCTCAGTGGACATAAAAGAAAAGATACATTTGTCAAGTCAAGAATCATCAGGGACAACACTTAATAACAGTCATAGGGTACAATAAGAATGGAATGGAATGGAATGGAATAGAATAGAATAGAATAGAATAGAATTCTTTATTGGCCAAGTGTGATTGGACACACAAGGAATTTGTCTTTGGTGCAAATGCTCTCAATGTCCATAAAAGAAAAGATACATTGGTCAAGAGTCAAGAATCATCAGGGACAACACTTAATGATAGTTATAGAGTACAATAAGCAATCAAATCATACTAGGAAACGGTCAATATAGATCGTAAGGATACCAGTGACAAAGTTACAGTCATACAGTCCCAAGTGGGAGGGGATGGGCGATACAGAGTGATGAGAAGATTAATAGTAATAGTAATGCAGACTTTGTAAATAGTTGGACAGTGTTGAGGGAATTATTTGTTTAGCAGAGTGATGGTGTTTGGGAAAAAACTGTTATTGTGTCTAGTTGTTCTGGTGTGCAGGGCTCTGTAGCGTCGTTTTGAGGGAAGGAGTTGAAACAGTTTATGTCCAGGATGTGAGGGGTCTGTAGATATTTTCACAGCCCTCTTTTTGACTCGTGCAGGATACAGGTCCTCGATGGAAGGCAGGTTGATAGTAATTGTTTTTTCTACAGTCCTAATTACTGTCTGAAGTCTGTGTCTGTCCTGTTGGGTTGCAGAACCAAACCAGACAGTTATAGAGGTGCAGGTGACAGACTCAGTAATTCCTCTGTAGAACTGGATCAACAGCTCCTTGGGCAGTTTGAGCTTTCTGAGAAAGAGCTTTCGCAGAAAGAACATTCAAAACTTAAGGAGAAACATTTAATGAGGAACATAATAAAGGCTGTTTTTACTTCCCATCATCAGAGAAGTTCACAGCAAACCACACCAACACCAAAATGCCTTAAAATCTGGAAGAGTTGATGTAAATGCCACTCCTCCAGATTAGTACAAATGTGAGGGACACAAGTACTGTACATAACAGATTAACAGAGTTGAAAGGGACCTTGTAGGCCATCTAGTCCAACCTCCCCTGCCCAAGCAGGAGACCCTACACCATTTCTGACAGATGGCAATCCAGTCTCTTCTTGAAAGCTTCCAGTAATGGAGCTCCCACAACATCCGGAGGCAACTTCTGTTCCATGGGTTGATTGTTCTCACTGTCAGAAAAATTCTCCTCATTTCCAGGTTGAATCTCTCCTTGTTCAGTTTCCACCCATTGTTCCTTGTCTGAGATGGTATGGTTTCCCCTGCTTGAGCAGGGGGCTGGACTAGAAGACCTCCAAGGGCCCTCCCAGTTCCTATTCTAGTCTAACGTGGAAGCAGAGAGAGGCTCCCATCGACCCACTACTAGGTTTTTTTTTATTGGCGCTTTCCCACGTGTCTGCCTGCAAGGCATTTTGTTTTTTTTGAGGGAATCCAGCTTTCACACACCCCAAGACGTGGTTCAGAGCTCTGATCTATGAATAACAGAAGAGTTGGAAGGAACTTTGGAGGTGTTGGAAGGAAAATCCAGGTCCAGTTTAAAAGAAAATAAAAGTGCAAAGAAGAACAACTAAGATGATTAAAGGCCTGGAGGCTAAAACATATTATGAAGAAGGGTTGGAGGATTTGGGTTTGGCTAGTTAGAGAAAATAAGGACTGGGGAGGATATGATAGCAGTATGCCAATATTTGAAGAGCTGTCACAAAGAAGAGGGGGTCAACTTATTTTCCAAAGCACCTGAAGGCAGGACAAGAAGCAACGGATGGAAACTAATCCAGGAGAGAAGCAACCTAGAACTAAGGAGGAATTTCCTAACTGTTAGAACAATTAATCAGTGAAACAGCTTGCCACCAGAAATATTGGGCGCTCCATCACTGGAGGTTTTTAAGAAGAAATTGAACAGCCACTTGTCTAAAATGGTTTAGGTTCTCCTACTTGACCAGGGGCTGGACTAAAAGATCTCTAAAATCCCCTTCAGCTGTATTCTGATTCTGATTCCAAGCTGGGAATAAAATGGAGGTTGCTTTAAGAAGGTGGTGTGTTGATGAGCAGAACCAACCACTGCTTGCAGCTGACAAATTAGCTTTGATGAGTGCAAGGGTGTTTTTTTTTTAAAAAAATAGAGTTTACAGTATGTGCTTTTTATTATTTGATCCTATTATATCCTAAAGATCATGTTCTGTCTTTCTGAATCCCATCGGTTGGAGCTGAAGGTGTTTTGCTTGTGAATAGATTGGCCCGGATTTCTTAATGGGCACAAAATACCCAGCTCTGAACGCTTCAGCAATTTTGCGCTCGAAGTGGAAACGAATGTAACTTTGATTTTGGGTTTTACCAGTTTAGATCAGGGGTCCCCAAACTTGGCAACTTTTTAAGACTTGTGGACTTCAACTCCTAGCCAGAATTCTTTCTGGGAGTTGAAGTCCACAAGTCTTAAGAGTTGCCAAGTTTGGAGACCCCTGAGTTAGACTGATAGATGCTTATACAAATGGCTAGTTTATATTATTATGAAAAACAAACAAACCCAAACCGTCGTGGTTTGAGATTGATGCTTTTACTGCAACAGGAGTCGGAAGGCAACCTTTTTTTCCCAACCCTTCCTCACTTCTCTTCCTCCCCTTTCCCCTCATGTTTTCCTGGTTACTTTTGTATTTTGCATCTTACTTTATAACTCAATAAAATGCTCCCATATAAAGACTTCGGGGATCTGCAGGAGGCTGTTGGGGGGTTGCTTCCTGCTTTTGTGAAGATTTTTCTCCATTTCTCCTTTCGGGGAAAATATATTTTGCTTGCTTTTAATATTCCCCCAAATATTTCATTCTTTAGGAGTGGGGTCCCACCGAGGTCGTCTAATCCAACCCCCTAGTCAAGAAGGAGCCAATCCCAACCCTGACTCGGAGTCGTCTTGTAACTCCCCATACCCTGTGGGGGAAAATGAGGCCTGCACCCAGGCACATCAGGACGGCCAAGAAGCTTCCGAGCTCAGATCACGGAAATCATTTATCATATTCTTAAATCGTAATTAATCGAAGCATCCAGAAATTCACAATATCGTACACATTAAGTTAGAGGGGTTTGGAAACAGGACACCGAATCTGAAGGTAGGGCTACTGCAAGCCTTCATCAGGTGACAATCCGGGCTGCAGGAAAGTCAATTCAACCAGGATCTGGTGAGTGGGTTGGATGGGAGACCACCAGGAATCCGAATTGCGGATTTGGAATGGCATGTTAAAGAGAAAACACTGAAGTGAAGGCATCTGTAATTCTTTTCATTGTGTGCTTGAGGCTGCCTGGACTCTCCATGAGCTCACCACCAATTGCATATGATGCCTTCTGCATTAGCCCAAGGGCTAATAATATATCCATGGCCATGATTTTCCCCCCTTCTCTTTAGTTCTTTGTTTTTTTGTTCATAGTGTTTGCTTCCAATTTGTCCATTCTTAACTGACTTAAGTGAAACTGACCAGAATAGAATTATTCTAGGATTAGTTGTGGCTAACACAAACGTCCTCTGCATTCTGCTTTGGTTTTGGTGGTTGCTTTGCATTTTATAACAAGGGTGTTCCTACCCGCCCCCTCATATAGCAGGAAACAGTACTATTTTCAGCAGAAAGGCTCCCAGGGTGGCAAAAACCAAGAAATTATCAACCTATAAATCGTTGGATGTATTTGCAACCCCCCCCAAAAAATACTGTGTGGTTTTGACCCTGAGAAGTTATCAGATTACTCTGGCCGTAAGTTAGGTGGCTTTGTTGTGCTGTAAATGTGTTCCAGTACTTGTATCAACATGCAAAGATGCCCGTTTTAGATCTCCTGAATATGGATCTTCCAGACTGGGCTTGTAAATACATTTTTCTGTAAACTGTCTGGCTGGCAAATTACCTTTTCTCTTGGTTTTCAGCCAGAGATGGCAGAGAGAGATGGAACCCCAAAAGTACATTGCTTCCTTTCTAAAAACTGCCCCAACTGCACTGGCCAGGAGGAAATGAAAAAAATAATGGGCAAGGGGGAAGTTAAATCTTAGGTCCTATGCCCTATGGCAGGGGTCTCCAACCTTGGCAACTTTAAGACTTGTGGACTTCAACTCCCAGAGTTCCTCAGCCAGCAAAGCTGGCTGAGGAACTCTGGGAGTTGAAGTCCACAAGTCTTAAAGTTGCCACGGTTGGAGACCCCTGATCTAGGGTTTATCAGGCCGTAGGTTTTATTTCTCGAACGGGACCAGGAAGTGAAAGCCAAGAAGTACTGTACCCTCATGGTAAAGCCATTAGCCGTAGATTATAAGTCCTGGTGGTTGGCTTCAAACAAATATGTGCCCCCCAAACAAATCACATGGCTTATTGCTACGGCGTGCACATTGCAACACTTGGGCGCTTCAGACGGAGTTAGGAACAGCCCACGAGAAATTGGCCACCAACCTTGGCTGAGAACGCCAGGTGTCAGGAAGCAATGAATGATAAACACACGTCCCAGCCAAAATTCGGATACACGAATTCCATGAGGATCACGCGGCGTTTAGGGATACCGTACAGCAGATTATGCAATTTTGTCACTTCGAGGCAAATGTGAGTGGATCTAAAAAAGCCATATTTTCTCTTCTACCTCCTGCCCACATGGAACAACTTTCCATGGGGTGGGATTATTTGTAGAAGTTAATCTGGCATGAATTCTGCTATCCTGCTAGTGTGTCACTGAGGCTGTTGTTAAAATACTAATGCTCAACTCCTTCATACAACTTCAAGGTGTAATTTAAGTGTTACACAATGACAATATATTCACTGACCTCTTCAGACTGTAGTAGTGTGAACCCTGCTTTGCTTTACTGTCAGAATAAAGGACCTTTGTTCTGACCACCCATTTCACTGTTACGAAACAAAAAACAGCCTGTATTTTACACCAGTGCTAGCAAATGACCATTTATTTAAGAAAAAAAGGTTACTAAGCCATTATTTCCCAAAGTCAAGTGTAACGGGTGCAAAAGGCAAAATACTGTTACAGATTAGAAAAACAGCTCACGAGTTTCTATATATATATATTTCAAATATTAAACTTTTAAACAGGATAAAGAAAACAATGAAGAAAGGGGACTGGAGAATTATACACCTGAAAACCTTGATCCACTATTGGTGTCTCTTCTATTGCTCACAGAAAAAAACGAACGAACGAACAAACTACGCCACCAGTTTCAAAACTGGTCTTGTTTGGCAAACTCCCGAATACCTGGGTCATGAGAGAAGAGCAATCTTCCACGCAGCAGAATTACTTTGCCGTTTTAGAGTCAACGAGATACAGAGAGTAACCCACATTTGACAGAGAAGAGGGAACGGAACAAAGAATCTTTGATTATTATTATTTTTGATACAGGGGTAAAATGTTCCAGGTATTTTTGTAAGCATCACGCTGGAATGTCGAGCACAAGTAGAAGTACTGCAGAGACGACATCTGGGAAAGGAGAAATAGCTGACGCACTGAACACCGTTTCTAGGTTGTTCTAAACCTGTTTGCCCTAAACTAAAACATCTATAAAACCCCAAAAGCATATTCATTACCTACATTTACATATTCAACATTGAAAGGCGGAGGAGGGCCGAGAAGTGACACTTTTGCTAACACGACATATTTTGGGGCTGCCACCTTTTTCTTAACCCACGGCTGACGGCTTCTTGTCATCAAATGTGCACTGAGAGCAGGGGGCTCCATATCCCAAAATACGCCAGCAGTAAAAATGAAAACCCCTCTGCGATTTCTTAGCGGAGTTAGTCAGCAAAGATGGGGGCTTGGGTCCCTTCTTGACAAATCAGCAGGTCGTACTTCATAAGGATAGGCCTCATTTTCGGAAACGCAACACATGGTTGCTTTCTTCTCCAGAAGCGGATAGAAGCCCAGAGTCGACCGAGTGTTTTCCCACTGCCTTGAGGTCATTCCCGGTTGGTCTTCTGGGCCAAAGGAATTGGCCACCTGAGAGACGCTGGAGCTTCAGGTAGAACAAAGCAAGGCGGATGCTGCCCACCTGCGCTGGGCCTCCCCACGAAAGAACAGGAGTCTGAAAAGTTTTGTCCTTGTGTAAATGGCACCGTGGAGTTCAGGAAAGCAGAGGAAAGGGTGCTAGGACAGAAGCAAGGAAAGGAGCAGAAACCGGTTCGCTGGTCCCTGGAGAGAAAACAAAGCTTCATTAACAAAATTTGAAAGCACAGCATGGCTGCTTTCAGGACCTTACATCATCCTCTTGGGACCGTTGGAAGGTATTAGCAACACAAGGCTGTGGCATGGCTTGGCCCCTTATTAAATGAGGAAAAAAAACCACAGTAGCTGAAGAGCCATTTGAAGTTTTGAATCCCATCACATTAGAAAAGAGGGAGTAACCATTTTATCACGTTGCTATTAATATTATCTCCTGCTTATCTTATTGGGAACAAATGGATGGTTTAAGGGCAGGGTAGTCCAACCTTGGCAACTGTTAAGACCTGCAGACTTCAACTACCAGAATTCCCCAACCAGCATGGGTTAAAGTCCACATCTTAAAGTAGCCAAGGTTGGACACCCCTGATTTAGGGAATCAATAGCCTGGCTCTTGAACACACACAGTTGTAATTGTCCTTCTTTCCAATTTGCTTCTTTCGGTAGCAATTTGACAAAGACAGCAAGCTGAAGAAAAGAGCTTGCTTCCAGCCTGTGTTTTTTCTCACAGATTCGTTTCATTGCCAGCAGTTCCTCCTTTTGTTAAGGCCTTTGAGCATATTTTATTGTGTATCCTAAATACATCTTTAATTACGTCTGCTACTGACGCCGAGGGCCCACAAGATATTCAATATTTGGAAGTATTATAAATTGTCTCTTTAAAAAAAGGCTACCTTGAACGAGACTGAATCCTTTTTTTCTACAAAGAACCGATTCACACGAAGTTATAATTTAAATACAGCTTGCTGGGCAATTCATAGCTAGTGAGACACCCCGGGGGGAGGGGGGGGGGGGAAACAGGGTCATAGGTGACCGCAAATTACATCTGGCAGAATTGGCTTGCTGTCAGGGTTCCCATGGGCTGGTTGTCATCCATCACATTCTCCAATGAAGGACTTTTGTAGGCATAAGATCTGGTAGCCTAGGCTACAATCTTTGCAAGATAAGCATGGAATGTACTTCCTGGTTTTAATTCCCATACCGCTCCTTCAGGTTGCACCCCCCCTCCCTGCTTTTGGCAACTTGAAAACAGGCACAGGAATGCTTTACAAGCTGACATCTAGATTCACAAATCATACTGAACCGGGAATCATTATAAACCAATGACTGATTTTATGCCTTCCGGCCCAAAACTCCGTTAGGTATGTTTTCTTTCCTCCCACTGAAATGTATTTCTGATTCTTGGAGATTGCCTGGACCAAGATTGCCCTGCAGTTTTCTCCGCTGTTTTTTGTTGTTGTTATTTTAGAAGTGGCTTCCCATTGCCTTCTTCCTAGCTCTGAGAGGGAGTGGCTGGCCCAAGGTCACTCTGCTGATAACGCCTTTTGGTTCAGTTCCAACGAGGGCGCAAGTTGTGCAAGACGCCCTCTGCTCAAGCTCTTCCATCACCCTCCAGCATGGCCGTATCGCATCCAAGCTCCCAGAAGAAACCGAGGTCAACCTAGGTTATTCCAATCCAGACGAAGCGGTAAAGCGACACCTGTCTAAGTCAGCAGACACGGATTCAGTGTAAAATTAGACATGAAAAGCTAGAAAAGGATGGCAGGTAATGCCAACAGTATATATTGCCCCAGGCAAATGGTCTCTTCCGGGAGAAAATGAAAAGACAAAATAGGTAGTTCTTGACTTATAACCATTGGTTTAGTGACCGTTCAAAGTTATAATGGCCCTGAAAAAAGTGACTTAGGACCGTTTTTCACACTTACGACCATTGCAGCATCCCCCCTGGTCACGTGATTTACATTCGGATGCTTGGCAACTGGTTCGTATTTATGACGGTTGCAGAGTCCCAGGACGATGTGATCCCCTTTGGCGACCTTCTGACCAGCAAAGACAATGGGGAAGCCAGATCCACTTAACAACCACAGTGCTTCACTTAACAACTGTGGCAAGAAAGGTCATCAAAAGGAGCAAAGCTCACTTAACAAATGACTTGCTTAGCAACATAAACTTTGGGCTCAATTGTGGTCGTACATTGAAGACTACCTGCAATTAAGAAACCCACGATTTAAAAGGCAATATAAAATGTTAAAAAGTCGTTTTCGAAGCCCCTATGACCAGGTGCTCATTTGGAGAGAGAGCAACCAGAAAAATGAAAAATCAGAACATTGTTTTCTTTCCTCTTCTATTGCCCCACACTTGCCAGTGGCTCACAGAATTATAGCACAGCAAACTTTAGGGATGACAACTACTGGAGCGAAACCAATAGCCCATTATCACTCTGGAATTTCCAGGGTTATTCGTGGCCTAAAACGCACTGACAAATCTTCATCCAGCGCAGCAGATGGAAAACAGGATGGTCTCCAATGGGAGGGACAGAGGCTTGCACCAGTTCAGTCACCAAGAGTTGGGACTGTAAAACATGCCAGGAGGACAACATTTTTAAACTTCAACCCACAGGAGTGTGCCAATATTCATACACACCAAATATAACATAGATGTCAAGATCTTAAAACAGCAGTCACTGATAGTTTATCATCACATAAGATCCATATATACCATCCCTAATGTGCTTTATCCTGGTTTTTAACCACATCACCTTCCATGCAAGGGTGTAATTAGGTTCTTAAAAAAAGACTTTCTAAGTTAAGAAAAGTATTCATTGTTAATGAATTACTGAGACTTTTATGCCACTTCATTCCAGAATGAGGTGGCTTCTTGTCTACCTAAAATCCTCCTTTCTGGCTACGTTCTGTTCTATTCAGGTGGTTTTAGTCATAATAAATTAATTAAAAGTTAAAAAAAAAAAGGTGGGCTTGGAAACCGATTGCTTTTTCAAGTTTTGGCACGCCATTTGCCAGAACATCTTGAAACGTCTTACCGGCTGTAATATAGTTTTCCAGCGGTTCTTTGAGATTTCTTTGGAAAGAACAAAAATTTGCTTGAATCCGCATTTTCAAAACCTGAGCATCCTTGCGGTGCCCGAGACAGTTTAAATGGGGATAAGTACTACTACCCCTGCCATTTATTGAGAGCACTCCTGTTATTTTAATTTGCAAGTTTTCAGTCCAAGCCCCATAATCTCCACTTCCTCAGCCAGTCTGCATTTGAAAGACTGACATGGCCAGGTTCTATGCTGTGCATGTTGGCAAGCTGAAGACGCAGGTAAATGGTTTAGACATAATATAATGTATTAATTTAATTTACAGCCCACATCTTCAAGAACAGGGGAGAAAAGGAATTCTGGCCCATGCAACAAGTAAAAAACAGCAATAATTCATTCAGCGGCCACTAAGGATAAGTGGCTCCTTGAGCGTATTAGAATTAATGGCTCTTCCAAGCCCAAAAAGCAGATGTTTTTCCCATAATGGGGCTGCCAACTGAGGCAAGCCTTACGCAACTGTATATTAAAAACCAAGACAAAAATGTACGTCTATGGTTAGAAGCAAATAAATAAACTCTTTTTCACTGGGGTAGTTTGAAATAAAGACGCCCGTTACCTGCTATACTACCACTCTTTAATTTTAATGGTGAATCGTTGTACATTATTGTAGCAGAATTTTGGAGGTTTTGAAACGCCTAGATTTTATCAGTTATTGGGGACATATGAGTTACATTTTAATGTATTTAGGGCACCGCGAGGGGGTGTTTGTTCCTTAGAGTGTTGGTAGAATAGTCAGATAACTGGAATTTTGGATAGGGAGGTTTTGGTGAAGCACGGTTCAGAAAGCTCAACAGTTACGTATTCATAATGTTTACCTTTGACATCAAAGGTTTATCTTCCACTGCTCACACCTCTGTCTTCATAAATGGTAATTTCGACCTGTAGAGAACATCTGTTAAGGAACATTGCCAGCGTTCCAACTAAAAACCAACTCCAACCGATAAACTCCAAGACAGGCATTCCTCAAAATCCCATTTTATTAGAACTGTCATACTGGCACATCTGGGAAAACCCAAATCTGAGAGTTCCGGGTTTTGCCCTTCCCAAAAGAGAAATCAAAGACCCAACCCTTGCACCCATCAGTCCATCACATGGTCTAATCAAACGTTATCCCAATTGGAGACATCCCTTCAGTCCCTCCCCTCCAGGTGCAACATGTCCCTTGACTTCTAATTGTCCAACTCTCTAGGAAATCCCCCCCTCCTGAATTCCCAGGCACTAAATGTGGCAGCCTGGAAGCTTCTAAGTGAAATATGGCTTCCAAGGCTGACAGAAAATATTCTGCAGAGCCAGTCAGGGACATTAAAGAAACGGAGGGAGATAATAGAGTTTAATCTACATTTATAACTTGACGTCCTTCAGAAGTGCTGGACTTCTAACGTTGACATGGAGGCCAGGGATTTTGGAAGCTGAAGTTCAAGCTCTAGGGATGCTACCAGGAGAGAGAGAGAGAGAGTGGATTGCTGCATTTCTCCTTGCAATCGTTTCTTCATGTGTAAATAGCAGTATTCCAGTATTTGAGGGGCTGCCCCAAAGAAGAGGGGGTCAAATTATTCTACAAAGCACCAGAGGGCAGGACAAGAAACAATGGTTGGAAACTAATCAAAGAGAGAAGCAACTTGAAATTCAGAACAGTGAGAAAAATTAACCAGTGGGGAACAACTGGCCTTCAGAAATCATGGGAGCTCCATCCCTGGAGGTTTTTAAGAAGAGACTGAACAGTCACTTGTCTGAAGTGGTATAGGATCTCCTGCTTGAGAAGGGGACTGGGCTAGAAGACCTCCAAGGTCCCTTCCGGCTCTATTCTATTCATTCATTCTCCTTCTGGTGACAGAATTGCCCCAAGAAGCAAAAACACACACACTCCCTCGGTAGCAATCTTGAATATTCAGAGATATATGGAAGGGCATTTCTTCTAAAAGTCCATCAGCTAACCAGAATCTAATCATGGCACCTTAAATGACAGGCCTGTTATTTGGGGCTTATGACATAAAGGCCTGTTTGCTATAGAATTAAGGAGCAGAATTGAAATAAATAAAAGTAACCTTCACAGCATGAATCCTGGAACATCAAAATCATCAACAGTTTCACTCGGCTCCGTCATTTATTTTTAAAAAGCTACAGTGTGGTTTTTCAAGTGCATGAAGAGATGAAGAAAGAAAGTCAATCCACGAGCTAGCAAATGTTTAGGAACCCACAGGAAAGGATACAACTCTTAGTCCCCGCTCAATGGGGTCAGTCAAGAGGAGGCCTTGTGGAGCGTAGATCTTCTCGTTTTGCTCCTGAATGTACTTGGCAATTTTCTTTAGAACCTGGAATAAAAAGACAGATGCTTGTTTCGATTCCAGTTGTTACAAACTCTTGGTAATACTTTTAAATGACGAAGGTCTGACAAGAGGGAGATTCATGAACATGTTCAAGCAAATCACTCTCTCTTACAATCACCCTCACAGAATTAATTATTGTTATGGGAGCCCTATATTGTGATTAAATAAAACACATTCCAAATAAAAATACTGGTACTCAACTCACAAGGTTCATGAGGAAAGGCTAAATCATTGGTTGCTATAGTAGCAGGGAATCATTATATAATTTAACATCATTCTCATAGAATTTAAAAAAAAAAAACACCAAGTGCTTTCTTATCACAGGACATTCCTGTGTTTAACCAGCCAACCAACCAACCAACCCAGCCAACTCACCCACCCATGATTTAATGATCTGACTCAATTGTCTTGGTTTCCACAAGACTGAACCATAAACTCAATGTACACACATTACACTGGGCCACAAACTGGAGCACACATTTTAGCTCAAGATATTGTATACAATATACATTATGCCCAAATATAAAGTAGCCCAGAACACCAATACACTTAACAACTGTTTACAGCCACTAGGGGAAAAAAAGCCTTCTACCATCAAGGTCAACTCATGGTGATGTCATGGACACTTCCTTGAAAAAAAAAAACCTACAATTTTCCTAGCAGCCAGCACTGTGGAAGACGACTTTCCATTCTGCCATGATATTTCTTTTCTTAGTCTAGCCTACATCCCAATAGTTTCCCATCCAAGTATTGGATCCTGATTATATTTAACTTCCTACCGCACAGAATACCTGCAAGCTATTCTCACAACTGACTCTGACCTCTCCCTGCAATGATGGTATGATGTTGTACACAATTGGGCACGCACATGAAATATTACTCTCTTGAGGCAATGCTACCAACAACTACTATGGCAAATGCACCCTTGCCACCAACCCCAGTGGAAAAAATTGAAAGGTTGTTTGACACAGAAATGGACGTTGCCTGGATCACAACGGAGTAGCCACAACATGTATCACTTAAAATATTTGTAAAAGGTTCTCTTCAACTAGAGATTAGCGTTAAGACAGAAGTGGGGTGCTTGGAAAGTATTTTATCCCAAGTTCAGAATAGGCAACCTTCTGAAAGCCAACTTGGCTGGAACTAAATGTGTTCTGTGTCTATTTTCAAAAAGAGAATACCACAAAGGCATTCTCAGTAGAGAGACCTCTGAGTAGCCACAGACTGGCACAAAATCCCGATGATATAAAATCGGGAACAGAAGCTATTAGCATGAAACTGATACTCCCTGGCAAAGTCAGAGAACCCTGTCATGCTGACTTCTGAGAAAATATGACCTTTTCTAAATTTTCTAAAAGATCATTATCTGGCCAAAAACAAGGCTTTTAAGGCCAGGAAAGTGGTGGGTGGGGGAAAAAAATGCCATTCATATTTTTTTTCCAGGAAAGCCACCCTGAAATGTTATCAATGGCAGGAAAGACAACTAGCTGGTAGGGGCAATAGGAGTGTGGAGTGGAAGCAGCAAAAGTTATTTTCGGTGGCTGAAGTTATGGCAATAAAACCCTAAGTGAAATAGAAGGAGGATATCTTGCTTGGAGCAGCTCAAGGCAGCTTTCATAGCACCATGCTGTTCTCAAAAGGAGCCTGTGTACTCAACCACATAATCCATTGGTTGATTTTAAACCAGGTTTATTTCTCTCCTGTTTTACAAGGCTCCTTGTAGAAGCACAAAAGGAAGATTTCCCGGGTATTTTGGTTCTTTAAAGGAAGTCAAGATACACTTTTAAGAAACAAAGACCGTGAAAAAGGAGTAGGAAGAGCCTTTCTCCAATGTACTGAAGTACAGCTCAAAGAGAGAAGCAACCTAGAACCAAGGAGAAATTTTCTGACAGTTAAAATCAGTGGACTGGCTTGCCTTCAGAAGCTGCTATATTAATGTTCTTTTGAATCACTCACAATTGGCTGAAAGCACTGTATGAAGCCGTAAATCATGGTTTATAAACTAGAATGATTAGGTTCACACAATACACTATCTCTGCTTAGCAAAATGCAGGAACAATGGATTCCACTGTGATTATCTCCTGGCCATACCCTTGTTTTCATATTCCATTTGCCTACCGCTTTTACAGTTGTTTGTGTTTTTATTAGTTTTTATAATTTCATTGCTTTGTAAGATTTTCATGTTCTTGTGATATAAACTACAAGAAGTCTCTCTTTTTTTAATGTTGCAACATATAAACACAAGAATTAAATAAATTTTATCTGCCTTGTCTGGAAGGAAAAAAAAACCACACATAATGGAACATTTCCCCATCTAAACAGAACCTGCGCTAATCTAGCCTTCCTCTTGATGTAGTTAATTTTTTCATAGGCAGACACTTTGATTTATACCAAAATATTCTATCATGTGATACTGCTCTATCATAGGGGAGCAGATGCCGGAGAGTGAGTCCTAATACTTAGCCACATGAAGCTAAATACATCTCCTGTAACTGCTATCAAAAAATCAGAATGGAAAATGACATTCTTGACCATAGAATGGAAGCAATAAACCACATCCTGCTCAGGCTTTAATAAATGAGGTTTAACAGGACGTCTTTCCAATATTTTATTGCAAAGGGATTAGATGCTGTTCCTTCTGTGGAATTTTTTTTTTCTGCCATCAAGCCTCCAAGTTGGTATACATTGCCCTTTTTTTTTTCTTTTAGGGAAAGGAAAGGAAGTCAGCTGACCTTTTCATAATGTGTCTCCATGCACAGAAATATAGTGTAGGCAGTCAAGCAAGCCAAGCACCCTTCCAGGTAGGACTGGCTCCCAAGTTTCTCCGCTTCAGCATAAAGGTTATTCAAGGTCCTTACAGTTTCTTCAAACTGCTGCCTGTCAATCTGAACAAAGGATCACATTTAGAAACAAGACGTTCAGGCAGGTACAAAATCTACTTTCTTGAATGGAAACAACCTTCAACATATTTAGATGAAAGCCATATGCAATTTCAATTTCAATGGCTCAGATCCCCAGGAAATAGAACTTGACTTATTGGATGAAAAGTTATATGCCAGGAGCCTCGTGTGCAGAACTGGGGCTAAGGAAACAATTACAAGTTTTAAAATAGTCACAGAAAGAATGCAATTTCCTTCAGAAAAGCATTTCAATATATTTTTTCAAAGCTGTTCCTGGCACAACTCAATTCACAAAAGAAAGCAATCAGCTGCTACAATGAAAACAGTATGTTTTTCCTTGGTGGAACTGCTGATCAAAAGATCACAACGAGAAATCATATTTGCTTTTGCTTTCAACACTGATATCCACCCAGCATAAGTAGCCAGTAAATTAGAGTATTTGAGAACAAAAATACCAGAAAATTCTTCAACAGCAGAGAAAAGCTTGACCCACGTAGCAAGAACAGTAATTCCAGAACATACAAATGTTAATTATTCTTAAACCATTAAGGACGACTCTACCATGATTACATTTAATATACAGTATTTTTTCTCCTTTTCTTTCACTTGGAAGCTAAAAGGTGCTTTGAGGCAGAAATCTCAGGCTAGATCCACTGTGTTATATAATTTCTTTATTAATTTTTATTGTGCCTTTATTACTTACTAGGAGAATTGTTCTACACAATAAAGTTTACTTTCCTCCAGGAATCTTAGAAGCCGAAAATGCTGCCCTCAAAGTGCAAGTACTCAAATCCTGAGGTCCTTAACTAGATTAGTTAAATGTGATCTTAGCAGCTCCATATTCATACATGCTACATTTGATTAGACTTATTTTGTGGCTTTCTGAACAGCGCCAATCCAACCTATTTTATGATTCAGTGCATTGATCTGAACACAGAAAGCTGCGATCTATTCTGCCATCCTGTTTCTATGGTTCTTGTGGGGGTATTAGCCACACTGAAGTGACACTCCAGCAAACATATTTGATCGATTGAACTTACATGCTACCAAATCCTTGCAAATTAATGTCACTTTTCAATCCAAGTAAGACATCCGTAGCAGCAATATGTAGAAAATTTCCAGAGTCTCCAGTAAATATTAAAACTAAGTGCTCTTTTTCCAGCTTTGTCAAAAACATCTTCAGTATAAAACCATCTATAATAATGCAAAAAATAGCCCTGACTGAAATCCAGAGTTTCTGTTTATAATTCTATTGTTTTTATACTATTGTTGTTTTCTATCATACTTTGACATAATTTGTATGCTGCCTAAAACCTTTAGAGTGAAATAGCTTATGAATGTTATAAATGATTGGGGGACTTTGAAAAACTTGACAAGAAAACTGCAGAGACTTGTCCACGCAGTCACTTGAGGTCAAGACAGACTCGAAGGCGCGCGCACACACACACACACACACCACCTATGTATTCCTAGTGTCATAAAAAAAAAAAGAACCCTGTCCTTAGCATCTACACAATATCTAAATCAGGGGCATCCAACCATGGCAACTTTAAAGGTCTGTGGACTTCAGCTACCAGAATTCCCCAGCCAGCCATGCCAGCCACCCATGAATGCTCTTCTCCGTACTTGCCATCCCGCTCCCTGCGCGTTCACAAGACTCCCAAGGGAAAGGGGCTCTCGGAAGTCTATTTTGTTTTGCTTTAATCCCAATGCCCTTAAGAGGGAACCATGTGCAGTAATGCCTTCCTAATCATTATTCTCCAAAGCACCAGAGGGCAGGACAAGAAACAACGGATGGAAACTAATCAAGGAGAGATGCAACCTGGAATTAAGGAGAAACTTCCTAACAGTGAGGACAATTAACCAGTGGAACAGCTTGCCACCAGAAATCGTGGGTGCTCCATCACTGGAGGTTTTTAAGAAGAGACTAGACAGTCACTTGTCTGAAATAGTATAGGTCCTCCTGCTTGAGCAGGGGGCTGGACTAGAAGATCTCCCAGGTCCATTCCTATTCCTATCCCATCCTATCCTATTCCTATAACCAAAGGCTCCACTGCCAAATACCCTGCCATGCAGAGCTGATGTCACTTGGTCCTTGTCGGGTTTTATTCTTTTGGTTAGTGGCAGATTCAAACCTGAATAATGTAACCCCAAGAACTGAAGCCCAATTGAGAGATGCTGGGACAGGATGTCCTGTGTTGCTTTAGTTACCCCTGTAATAAAGGGATTTCCACAGACAACACTGGCACTTGTGTGGTTAATTGCTTGTGCTCAGCAGTCAGCCGGACAAACCTGTTTTGCATACTTCTTAACAGGAAGTAGGCACCATCCAAGGGTTACCGCTCTGAGATTTCACATCCAAAGCTTATGTCTGTCCTATAAACTTAAATCCAATCAAAAGTTACCATCCTGCAAAAATCAAAAGTATGAGAAACCAAAGAATTCAATCGGTAGAATTGAAATATTTGCCTGTCACAGAAGAGAAATAAAAGGAGGCTCTGAAATGCTTGTTAAATGATTCAGTGGTTTTTAGAACAGCTCTTTCAAAATCTGTACGGTAACAGGATTTCAGTTAAAACAACAACACTGATCTCTCATTTGTTGCTCTAGAAGATGATCTCCCATACTTTGCTTTGAAAAATATGGCTTTTTTCTGCACCTCTGTCACTATTTATTTCAGTTTAATTATAAATATAATTTACAATCTTGAGTGTCAAATTTAAAAAAAACAACCCAAAGACAGAATGGTAAAACAGCTAAAGACAACTGATGCAGAAATCCAGAAGAAATAAAATCCAGAAGAAACACAACTTTGCAGTGAAGATTGTGTAGGAGGAAAGCCTCATTAGTCCACAACAGCTCTTCAAATTTGACAGCTTTAAGACTTGTGGACTTCAACTCCCAGAATTCCTCCTCCAGCCATGTTAGCTCAGGAATTCTGGGAGTTGAAGCCCACAAGTCTTAAACTTGCCAAATTTGAAGACCCTTGGTCTACAATCACCCAAAACCAGGAGATTGGTAGGATCTTTTCCAACCAGCAAATTCCATTAAAGGACATAAATTGCAGCCAATCAACTTGCTAGTCAGAAAAGTTGCTACCCGATTCTTTTTGATTCTATACAGTGTAATGAAATGGCAATTTTAACTTAAGGGAGAATCTATCCTTTCCTCTCAAAAAAGTACTTTCATTGCTTTCAAAAAGCCAAAAAATGTTTTCACACCCAGTGATTTTAGTTGTATATAATTACTGCTCTGTGATTAGCCTTTGCTTATAAAAGGGACAGCAACATAGAAATCACTGTTAACCCTTCCTCTCTTCTCTGTTCCACCCAGCCCAAGGCAACAATTAATGATGGGGGTTGGTGTTCTTTGAGCTTGGTGGTTTTCTTGCAGATGTTTCATTATCCAAACTAGGTAACACCATTAGTAAGGAATGGAGTTTGCTCTCTATATTCTAGTGGCTTGCCTTGTCATTGTTGTTGGGATGGTCTTAGAGGTTTAGGTTCTACCCATCTCTAAAATCCACCTATACTTAGCATTATCAGAGCTAATTTTATGTAACTTGGCTCTTCATTTTTCATAACTGCTGAAGCAAATACAATATAACGTAATGCAATTTACCGAAGCCTTTGTAGCCCTTTAAATAAAACAGCCTTAGACTGGGCATAGAGCAACTCAAAACGCTCCCATCAACGGTCATTCTAAGACAGCTAGGAACTGGAGTTCATCATCATTTGGAAGACCAGATTTTTTTTCCCTATCAGAAAACAGATTTTCCATCTGGAGCTGATTTAGCAAGGGACAAATCCTAGTCACTGAAGCCAAAGCATAAAGGGCAGCACGGAGGTTTCCACAAACATGGGAGGAGGGTGCTGCTAGTGGATCCACAAAGAGCTGGCGCACCTGCTGTGTGAACTCTTGCAAAGCTGCTGATACAAAAGACACAACTGACAGAATGCCTTCACACTCACTGTCCATCCCTTGCAGAATACTCCCAAGTAATTCTTTCCTTCGTACCATGCTAGCTCCTCACTTTTTAATTAAAATACTTACCGTAGATACAGATTCAGCTGAGACACAGAACCAAGCAAGCCACTGTGAAAGGTGGAAAATTTGGTCCCTCAGGCACAGTGCGTTTTATTTTATTTATTTTGATTTGTCAATCGCTTACAAGATAATAGGTATAAGTATATACATAGTTATGAATACATGAAATGGGTACATATAAGAAAAATAAAAGAAACAATAGGACAGGGACGGTAGGCACGTGGGTGCGCTTATGCACACCCCCTAAAGACCTCTTAGGAAAGGGGTGAACAGTCTAAGGTTAAAGTTTTGGGGTTTGGGGAAGAAACCACAGAGTCAGGTAGAGTATTCCAGACATTGACCACTCTGTTTGCTGAAGTCATATTTCCTGCAATCAAGTTTGGTGCGGTTTACCTTGAGTTTGTATCTATTGTGTGCTCTTGTGTTGTTATGGTTGAAACTGAAGTATTCATTGACAGGTAGGACATAGCAATGTATGATTTTATATACCATACTTAGATTGGACTGAAGACGGCGTAATTCAAGGTTTTCTAAATCTACATTTTCAAGTCTGGTGGCATAAGGTATTCTACAACGAGTAGAGGAGTGGAGAACTCTTCTTGGGAAATATTTCTGGACTGTCTCAACTGTGCTAATATCAGATACGTAATGTGGGTTCCAGACTGATGAGCTGTATTTGAGTATTGGTCTAGCAAATGTTTTGTATGCTCTAGTTAGTAGTGTGATATTACCAGAGAAAAAGCTACATAGGATTAGGTTAACAACTCTTAATGCCTTTTTGGCTATGTAGATACAGTGGGCTCTAGCACTTAGATCATTAGAGATGAGTATTCCAAGGTCCTTTACAGAGCTTGGATCATCAACAAGGTCTTGACTATTCAGCTTGTATTTTATTTTCTGATTTTTTTTGCCAATATGTAAGACAGAGCATTTATTTGTTGAGATTTGAAGTTGCCATTTGTTTGACCATTCTGATACATAGTCAAGATCTTTTTGAAGGGTAGCAGTATTGTCTGTGGTATTGAACAGCTTTACATCATCAACAAAAAGAACACAGTTGCTCTTAATATGATCACAGAGGTCATTTGTGTAGAGTATGAAGAGAGTTGGTCCTAGAACACTGCCTTGGGGGACACCACTACTGACAGGTACAGAATTTGATAGGACACTCCCAATTTTGACCATTTGTTGTCTGTTTGACAAGAATGCTTCTATCCAGTTATGCTGTTGTCCAGAGATACGTTATATGGATCCAGCCAGTTTTGGCTTGTTAAAGCTAGGGATAGTTTAAAGCTAGGGATTACTCACCCGATTTTCCAACTCTGAGGGGAATTTGGTCTGGAACTGGCACTTGGTGCCACTGCTGTAGTCCCTTTGGATGAAGACTTTGCTGGCAACAGGCGGCTGCTGTGGCCTCATCTCGCAGCTCAAACTGGCCAGTCTAGGTGTGAAAGGACAGATAAGGTATCAAAGTATGTCCCACTCTTATCAGGTCACTCTAGTTTTATATCCCGTGTGCTGGCTGCATTGGAACATGTGCCTGGCTGATCAGCTCTCTGGTTCTACACACTGGGCAACTATTATAATCAATTAAATGGTCCTATACATTTGGCATACATACTGAAGGCATTATAAGGATGAGTATTTAATATGTATAATAACATTGCTCTAGTCATGAGATACAAGTGATGTTCAACATCCTGCTTTTTGTACTGTAATCTTGAATGTACTCCAAGATGGCTCTTTGAAACATGATTCAGCTCTCCTTGCAACTCAAGAGCCCCACTGTTGTGGTTGTTTTTAAGGTCAGTGAGGAGAGACTGAAGAGACTGGGGATATTTAGACGGCAGTTTCCAAATGTATGAAAAGAAGGGGCCTTGTTTCCATCACCCCAGAAGGCACAGCATGGACCAGTAATCTGAAGTCAGAGGAAAGCATACCCCAACTGAGTGTTAGGACAACCTTTCTAATGATAAGAAGAATTCAGCAGTGAAAGCAATGGCCTAGGGACTGTGCCTATTTTGAACAGATTCAGTGGCTTCCAAGGCATATACCATCTCTAAGAGTCTATGCCAGTAAGAGGTACATGATCTATTGCTAATTTTCTCTGTCTCAAAGATCCAGAGCTTGTTCCACCCTTGGCTCACCTCAGCACTAAGAAGAATTATTTAACATATTGCAATTGAATCTTTTAGCTTAAGAATTCCCATGAATGTACTGGTGGAAACAGGGTTGGTGTAATCAGAGCAAAACTGCTCCCTCTTGATGCAGGTCCAACACCCCAGTTCAAATTGCCTCTCTGCCCCAAAATTTATTTTTTATTTACTTACATGTATCCTGCCTTTACTATGTTTACAAATAACTTAAGGCGATGAACATATCCAAGATACCTGCCTTCTCCTATTTTCCCCACAACCACCACCTTGTGGGATGGGTTGGGCTGTGAGTGAGTGACTGGCCTAAAGTCACCCAGCTGGCTTTCACAACTAAGGCAGGACTTGAACTCGGTCTCCAGCTTGCAACCCTGGTGCCTTAACCACTAAACCTAAACTGGCTCCCATCAAATCAAAGAGAGTGTTGAAATTCATGCAGATAAGACCAGATAAGGCCTTAGACCAGCCAATCACATCCCAATCATCCGCGGTGGCATAGTGGCTAGAGTGCAGCATTATAGACTAACTCTGCCCCTGCCAGGTGTTCGATCCTCACCAGGCTCAAGGTTGACTCAGCCTTCCATCCTTCCGAGGTCAGCAAAATAAGGACCCAGATTGTTGGGGGACAATAGGCTGATTCTGTAAACCGCTTAGAGAGGGCTGTAAAGCACTGTGAAGAGGTATATAAGTCTAAGTGCTATTGCTATTTGTCTCCCATCTAAATAGAAACTGGGGTATCTTATCTATGGTTTCTTTCTCCCTGATGTGGATACGAAACACCAATTTTTTGATAGCTTCAGAAGAGGCTCTTATTTAAAATCATTTTCACAATTGGAGAGAAAAGAGCAAAGTCTTTCCTATGGTGGCTCCCCATTTTGATGGCAGTGCTTTTCGTCCCCCACAAGCTGTTGATACCCTCTTTCCATCTTTGAACTCCAAATCAAATCAGGACAACTGCATCCACGAAGCACTTTAAAATGCGCCCTATTCTTTCGATGTCCTCCTCTTTCCTTTTGAGACCAACTTTCCTCCAACTCCCTCTCCAGTCCAAAGCAGCAGGGAGTAAAGAGGGAATCCCAGGTATAAAAGCCCAGAAACCTACAGTCCAGAAATTTGTACCAATTTCCCCCTCTCTTTCCTACAGCTGCAAAAGCCAGGGGTGGGTACGCTTCCCTATGTGCCACAGCCTTGCAGGGTATCGTTTCCTGCCCCATCTCCGGTTTATGCCCTGTAACAGATAACAGATAATCAGAGTTGGAAGGGACCCTGTAGGTCATCTAGTCCAACCCCCTGCCCTAGTGGGAGACCCTACACCATTTCTGACAGATGGCAGTCCAGTCTCTTCTTGAAAGCCTCCAGTGATGAAGCTCCCACAACTTCCAAGGGCAACTTCTGTTCCATTGGTTGATTGTTCTCACGGTCAGAAAATTTCTCCTTATTTCCAGGTTGAATCTCTCCTCCTTGTTCAATTTCCATCCATTATTATTCCTTGTCTGACTTTCAAAGGTGCTTTAGAAAATAGCTTGATCCCATTCCTCCTCTCTGTGGCAGCCCCTCAAATACTGGAAGACTGCCATCCTGTCTCCCCTGGTCCTTCTCTTCCCTAGACTAGCCAGGCCCAGTTCCTGCAACCATTCACTGTTTCAGCCTCCAGTCCCCTCATCATCCTGGTTGCTCTTCTCTGCACTTTTTCTAGAGTCTCAACATCTTTTTCACAGGGTGCTGACCAAAACTGGATGCAGTACCCTAGGTGTAACCCTACTCCTATTTCTGAGGTCAGGGAGCCCTCTGTGTGTGTGTGTGTGTGTGTGTGTGCACGCACAAACTCTACGGCTCATTTTTCACCCCTTCGTATATTTCAGATCGACACCCCCCCCCAAAAAATAAGAACCATGTACGATACGAACATGATTCCATCCACGCCACTTCGACCCAGCCTACCTCGAATAATAAAAATAAGGATAACATCGATCCATCCTCCCAGAGACTCCCCTGTGTGTGTGTGTGTATGGATCACTTTGGAGAAGCCTGGCTTATGCCAGAGGGACAATATAACCCCCCCCCCGCAAAAAACCACCCCCTCCCCCCCCAAAAGAAAAGAAAAGCCTTTATATGGCAGCTCAGGGGCTGAAGTCCATTCCGCCAAGGGCAGGGAGGGGGGGAAGGAAGGAAAGGGGGGGGGGTTAGACGTTTAAAGGTTGTGTGTGTGTGTGTGTGTTTTAAATTAGACATTTTCGCCCAAAGACCAAGGCCATAAGGAGACCCTCCCTCACCCCCAGGGAGCCCCCTCCCCACCCCCCACCCCACTCCCAGCGCTACAGGGCCAGCCTTTTTTCTCTCTCACAAGTTTAATTCCCTCCCCCCTTTAAATGGCCATGGGGCTCCCCCCTCTTTTCAGCCTCCCTTCCCCCACCCTCCCCAAGAGAGACAGGACCACCGCCCGGCGGAGAAGGAAGGGATGCCCCTTTCCGCCCACACGGCCTGAGGGGAGGGGGTGTTTCCCAGCCCCCCCCTCAGAAAAAGAACAACAACCCTCCGAGGTAGGCCAGGCCGGGCTGTCAACGAGTCGGCCCTGAGGGGATTGCCGCCAACCGCCATTTCCCCCCCCACACACACTCAGGCCCGGCCCCCCCCCCCGCCCCCACGGCCCCCTCCCCCCCCCCCCCCTCCCCCCCCCCCCCTCCCCCTCTTGCCTGAAAGTTTTGAGGGCGGGGCAAACTCTTACGGCCGCTGGGCTTGTGCGGCCCCGCGCCGTAGATTTATACTTTGTCAGGTCTGTACAAGAGCGGTCCTCGCGCTCCCGGGTGGGTCGCTTCCGGGTTCCTCTGGAAGGAAAAGAAAGGCTTTGTAAGGCCCCGCCTGGCCAACCTTGATTTTTTTTTTTTTTTAAGGACTGGTGGTGGGTTTCAAAGCCTTCTGGTCACGTTGTCCTTTCGGTAACTTGAGGGGAAGAGAGAAGCTGCAGAACGAGGCTTCCTTGGGATGATGGACCACTAGATTCTAGAAAGAGTGCCGAGAAGAGCAACCAGGATGATTAGGGGACTGGAGACTAAAATATATAATGAATGGTTGCAGGAACTGGGCATGGCTAGTCTAGGGAAGAGAAGGACCAGGGGAGACAGGATAGCAGCCTTCCAATATTTGAGGGGCTGCCACAGAGAGGAGGAAGGGGTCAAGCTATTTTTCAAGGCGTCCGAAGGCCAGACAAGGAATAATGGATGGAAACTGAACAAGGAGAGATTCAACCTGGAAATAAGGAGGAATTTTTCTGACAGTGAGAGCAAATCAACCCAAGGAACAGAAGTTGCCTTCAGAAGTTGTGGGAGCTTCATCACTTGAGACCTTCAAGAAGAGACTGGATTGTCATCTGTCAGAAATGGTGTAGGGTCTGCTTGGGCCGGGGGTTGGACTAGAAGATCTCCAAGGTCCCTTCCAATTCTATTATTCTTTATTCTGGACCTCAGTGGAGCAGAGTATAATATAATATCTATAGATCTATAAAGCCTTAGTAAGACCACACCTAGAGTACTGCATCCAGTTTTGGTCACCACACTATAAAAAAGATGTTGAGACTCTAGAAAGAGTCCAGAGAAGAGCAACCAGGATGATGAGGGGACTGGAGACTAAAACATATGAAGAACGGTTACAGGAAATGGGCATGGCTAGTCTAGTGAAGAGAAGGATCGGGGGAGACAGGATGGCAGTCTTCCAATATTTGAGGGGCTGCCACAGAGAGGAAGGGCTCAAGCTATTCTCCAAGGCACCCAAAGGCCAGACAAGGAAGAATGGATGCAAACTGAACAAGGAGAGATTTAATCTGGAAATAAGGAGAAAATTTCTGAGAACAATCAACCAATGGGACAGAAGTTGCCTTTGGAAGTTGCGGGACCGTCATCCCTGGAGGCTTTCAAGAAGAGACTGGACTGCCATTTGTCAGAAATGGCGTAAGGTCTCCTGCTTGGGTGGGGGGTTGGACTAGATGACCTACAAGGTCCCTTCCAACTCTGTTAATCTGTTAATCTCTTGCTAGGTGAAGTATTTTAAATACTGTAATGCGGTCTTAGTAGGCAATTGACATAAAGCCTCCTGACTTGTCAGACCAACCTGTCAGGAGTTGGACCAGATAACTTCTTCTAGTCCAAAGAGAATTGGGGACTAAAACACACAATGAACAGTTGCAGTAACCGGGCATGGCTAGTCTAGGAAAGAGGGAGGAGCATGGCTAGTCTAGGAAACCAGGGGAGACATGATAGCGGTCTTCCAGTATTTGAGGGGCTGCCGCAGAGAGGAGGGAGGTCAAGCTATTCTCCAAGGCACCTGAAGGCCAGACAAGGAATAATAGATGGAAACTGAACAAGGAGAGATTCAACCTGGAAATAAGGAGGAATTTTCTGACAGTGAGAATAATCAACCAAAGGAACAGAAGTTGCTTTTGGAAGTTGTGGGAGCTTCATCACTGGAGGCTTTCAAGAAGAAACTGGACTGCCATCTGTCAGAAATGGTGTCGGGTCTCCTGCTTGGGTAGTGGGCTGGACTAGATGACCTACAAAGTCCCTTCCAGTTCTGTTATTCTGTATGACACGGGCTGCTGCATGTTCTTTCCATTTGGGAACAGATGCAGTTTTGCATGAGTTGGGACCAGATTTGGAAAGAGGAGCAAATTTATTTATTGCTACGAATGGGAGGCTTTAATACCACCATGTCCCATATGCACCTGGGATTCAACGGATTTTCTATTTTAGGCAAATTTATTTAGTGCTAAGAATCGGAGGCTTTAAAAAACCACGATGTCCCAGTGTTTTCACTGCACCAATGGGCGTGCCATTTCTTTTTAACCACACCTCTTGTACAATTTTTATTTTCAAACTTTTATTTATCAAAATATAAAATACAAAAATACAAAGAAAAACGAGAAACATAAGAAAATAGAGAAGGAGAAAGGGGGAAATGTGTTAGGGAAAAAAGGAAAAGGAAAGCATTGACTTCCAACTCTTTTTGGCACAGAAAATAAGGTAATAACATAACGTTTTACTTTTAAATCATAATATATATTAGCCATTTCTATAACAACAAGCCTATCTAATCAGCAAAACCCCAAATCAAAGTTTCATTTTTTTTCCTTCTCAAGCACAAAGTCCAAAAGCGGTTTCAAAATAGAAACAAAATTGAATTGTATTCTTTTCTTCCATCAAACACTAAATTTAGCCATCTCTGCTAATGCCACCAACTTTTGCAGCCATTTGTCCATTGTGGGAATCAATATCTTTCCATTTTTGTGGCCTAGAGTATTTTTGCTTCTGTCACTTTATGGATACTCCTGAATGTAGTAATTAAGGCGTTGGCTTAACCCCAAGGAAATTAATTTTTGAAAAAGTCTGATTATAGAATATAGAAGGGCAGATCCACAGAAGCCAGAGCCATATTTAGGGAACAATGAAGACACTTTTCTAGTGCTACACATGGCATCAATCAGAAAATTGGAAATTTTGGCTTTCCAAAATTGGCTGATACATTTCACTTATAGCACGTATTAAATTGAAGCCGGAAATCCCACCTGGTGGGTTGGCTTCAATTCCCAGAAATCCTTGGCCAGAATGGCCATTGCTA